GTAGGGAAACATTCAAAATATTTTGGATTAATTATTTATCCTAGATCTACTTTTAATTACGCGCAGAGAGTAATTATTCACGAATTTACATGTGCGAATCATGCGAGAGAGCCGGAACATTGTGCATCCATTAACTAGAGATCTCTATTTTTTTGTATAACTTTGTACTCTTTTACCTCGCTTTAGACGTAACTCTCTGGCGCAAGCGGACAGTTTCCGAGACAGTGTCTAAGGAGTTGCTAAGAGCGAACGGATGAGTTAAAGTGCAACTTACTTGTGAACTTCCAACGCTCATAAATCATTATGATTCCGCGCGGCTATAATGCGAGCACGTTCGCACTTATTATATGCTGAAGTATACTTCATTAAAAATTGGGTCAATAATTAAATAAGTGATGCACAAAAATTAAATTAAGAAAATAATTTTTGCACGAATATTGACGTTATATATGTAATCATGAATATTGATTAATATGCTGTTGAATTTTTAATTATTACGTTGTGGCGATTGTCCTTTCTTTTTTCAAACTGGTCGTTCAAAAAAGTTATTGACTTCAGAGGGAAACTATTTGCATGGGTTATACGATCCTTACTGGACCGCTATCGCAGATTGAAAATTAATTTTTAATTCCGCTCTCGCTCAGCCCGATAATCAATCCCGTTATAATTAAGCGCGTGTTATTTTAAAATATATCGCAGTTAGTTTTCAGAAGAGCTTAAATACTTTGAGTGTGAAAACGGCATTGAATAATAAAAGGTTTGAAATATTTGGAAAAACAAGATTAATAGAAAATTGTGGAAAGTTTAATAAAGAAATTATGGTTGGGAGAATTTAATTAATTATCAACGATTAATTGCAGTATTTCAATTTTTTTTATCGTTCAATTTGTTCATATAAAGAAAATTACATGTGATAATTTTAAGTTACAGTTGATATTTATAATGATTTTGTAGTAAAACAATTTTATAATTTAAATTTTGCTAACGGCAGTAGCTATTTGTAGTTATTTAAAATATCAATTTTCCATTTTTCTGAGTAAGATAAATTGCAATATCTTTGAATTAATTTTTTATTTCTCTATTAGGTGTTGGAATTAATTCGTAGCGTTTTTTAATGAAAGAATGTTATTTATTTCACATGAGCATTAAAAAATACATTAATGAAAGTACTTCCCATCACTTGTAAAACGCTACGAATTAATTCCAACACCTAATACAATAATGTTAATTAATATAACAATTTCAATATGAGAACAGAAAATATTTTTTAAATAATTTAAGAGAAAAAGAATTTCTTTAACGTTTGAATTATCACAAAGTTGGTAAGACTAATGTAACAGTAATGAGTAATATAATCACGCGTTTGCACGTCATTTGTATTTCAAATTGTCCATGCAGGAGATGCCAAGTAGATGCTGCCAAATTTTGCCGTGTAAGCAATCACAAACCAATAATGATAGATTATTATTGTGCTGCCAAATGTAAATGGATCGCACGTGCAAAGATTTTGCTTCCGCTTTAACCGACCGACGTCGCGTGCAGTTCCGGTGCGTATGCGTGCCTGGACACGCGTGTCGCATTCCCACTAACACGGACGGTAATGTTCACGATCGTGATCGTGAGCTCGCTTCGATCGATCGTGCGATTCATACTGCTTTCGTACGAATACCTGAACGCATACTCTGGCTGTACGCAGGCATGTCTCGGCATCGTATTGTCGTTCGAATTCTGGAAATCGTCATTGATATGGTCGATCGTCATCGATCCTCATCGAATTCTACGTTATGCGTATTAATAACTATCGCCTTATTATGTCAAATATAAACAAATACATAACATACAGAAAACCTACATTATTTGAAGAAACAATTTTGCTCGTTTAATTTTAAAATATTTAAAAATCGAGCTAAGATACAGATTTGAAAATAACTTTGTTGGCTCATTAAAATAATTATGTAGGAAATTCAAGCATGGGCAATGCTGCAAAAAAATTTTCTTCTAGCAACCAGCGTGAGCGTCCTACATAATAATTTTAATAATTATTTTTAAATATTTCAGCGCATAACTGTGCATTCTTTCCGTGTATTAGTCATATTTTTAATAGATCATTAAAAAGCATTAGAATATTATTATATTATTATATTATTGAAAATAGACATAAATTTAAAAAGGCATAAATATTTAAAAGAAATGTTAATACAATTTTATTATGCGTGTAGCAGTAAAAACAATATTCTTTGCAACGATAAACTTATTTAAATGAGATAATTTGATCAGCATAATCGTAGAATTGAATTTACATTTCGCGATACATCATGTTATTCGTATCAAGAAATTAATTATTAATTTGTAATTAGTGAGTACACGTGCCTGGATTCAGACATTGGTGGAATTTTGATGATATATTGCTTATGCAATATGACTGACCATGTTGACTCTTATACTACTGAATACGCGCGGTTCATCGAAAACCTCGTTACTGCAGGGCTGTCTCATATTGGTTCATTACTATCGCGTCTAAATTGAACGTTATTCTATGATAATATTGAGACCCATTTAGGGTTGATATGATTTTCTTTTATTTTTTAAAAATCGATATTATCTTTCTCGAACACCGAAAGAAAAAATGGTTCGTGAAGTTTACTTGCGAACCACAAAGCGAACGTATTCTAGCCATTAAGGGATCAACGCTGCGTAATCAAAGAAGTCGTTAAAAGCGTAATTTCAGAAAATAAAGTACCTGTTACCGGTTTCTTCGTAAAGTTTAGTTTTCGTTCTTGTTAATGTTCGTAAAGATGAAGGCGCGATTGGGATCTAAACTTCAAAGGGCCGCGGCGGTTGGAATTAAGGATTTTTTTCGTCATTAAGATTTTAACTACTTTCTACATCACCTAGCGACGCTAACGATCTAGTATAGATGCATCTCACTGTGCAAATAGAAAATGCAAAATGAAGTCTTTTATTCCTATCGCTCTACCAACACCGTGGAGTAATATAGTATGGCAGTTTGATTGAAATATTTACTAATCCTTTTTGAATTTCCTGTGACGTACGCAATCATCGTTGCTTTGACTGGAAATATTGCAGATTCAATCTTGACAAAATCAACTGTCCCCATGCAAGCTGATTGCGTTTACACATTCTCGATACCATACGTGCGAAGCGTATCGCAATGTATCATTGAATACATCGCACAATGTGCGAGTTTCAACGTCACCGCTATTTTTTTGGATTTGTTAAATATTAGATCGTTCGTAATTATTTCGTTATATGTAGTTATACGAGAAATTGCTTGCCTTGAATTAAGTACAAAAAAATTTCAAGAATTATTCAATTTATTTCGATTTAGAATAAATAATAATATCTCTTCTTTTGCTACGCGAATTATATTTGATCTTGTTGATATAATAAGTTTATTACTAGTTAAAAACTTATCTTAAAAATTTAACTGATAATTAGTGGTATTTGCTATGCAAATTGCATTAAATTGGTCTTCGTATTAAATTTAAGTAGTAGAAAATGAAAGAACGGTAGAGAAACGCGTATCGACATCCCTCAAACAACGCAATAATTAATGGATCTCTTGTAACACGAGAAAATCCATAATCCCGTAATCTTGAAGCGACATTGATTTACGATTGTGGGTGGTGTCATTATTCTCAAAAAGTATCAAGATTTCCGGCGCATGATATTCAGATTCAATATCGTAATACAGTAATTTTTCAACGTCTGCTCATGTGAAGAGTTCCTGCCGACATGACACTCATTAGATCATATCGCGTGAAACCTCGTTAATTTGATACAGCACTCGTAAATATTCATACGATTACGTGAACGATACAAGTACGGCTGACGAGTGTAGCACTGACACTTGATTCTCCTTTTTTGCCTTTCTGTTACAGGGGAACGCACGGAAGCCATGCAACGTGACGCCGGATACGTCTCTTCCGGAAGTGACGTCAGGCACTGGCCCGGACTTCTGCTTCCGTTTTCATGGTTTCTAATACTCGCGCGCAACAGCCAAACTTTCTTGCTCTAGTGCACACTCGACAGTATTTCACGCTTATTTCTTGCCGTTTCCAACGCTGAAATGTACCTAAAACGCGACCAAGCAAATCTAGATTGTTAAGATAAACTTTTATAGATTTTAAGAACATAATTTATAAACTGCGTTATATTAATATGATACACTAAATGAAGAGATTATATCCAAAAATGGATTGCGATAAGATTTATTTGAAGGATTCGAATTTACCTTCTACAATAATTGCAAGTATGTACAAAAAAAGAATAATAGAAAGCTTGATTTAACTCGGGAAATATCTTAAAAATATAATAGAATATATTATAATTGTATCAAAATAAGTTAGATTAATGATAAAATAAATAAGGTAATTATTTATATAATGCGTAATGCAGTCTCAAGGAAAATAAGGTGAATAATTAATATATCAAGTTCTAGAAAATCAACATTTATCTGTTTTTATTTGTAAAAATAATGAAGAATAATTACAATTAGTTAGACTTTAAAGAATGTCCATATGTGAAAATTATGAATTATTGCTTTGTAACTGAGAAATTGATTACAGCAAGGTAATCGATATATAGATTCTATGACACGTATTTGTATAAGTATTTATTTTAAATGATCACACACTTATAAAATCAGTTTGTTGCAAAGAAGCAATTTCACATGAGGAAAAAAATAAACACAAAATTATTTGTATGTAATTTAATTATTATATTCTTTTACAATAATATAATCATTATAAGAAAAATAAATAAATTCCTCTCTCTCTCTCTCTCTCTCTCTCTCTCTCTGTCTCTCACAATATTTTTTCCGCTGACCGTATTTAAAAATTTCGACTTTTTCCTGCCAATTACAACAAATTTTGTATATCCATTCAATTTTCCGATTGTGCATAAAATGAAAAGTGCATTCTCTTTTAAAAAGAGTTTCACGCAAATGGAAATAAAGATAAAATGTCCTTATACAAGTTTCCTCGTATACTGTTTCGTAAATTTAGCTTTGTGCGCAAATAATTCATTAAATGACCTGCGATACTCCATTTGATCTCAATGTTCTGGAACGTTCTTTTCGTTGCCCTCTTCGCAATTCACGGCGTTTCTTTGAGCACAACTCTTAAAGTCAATAGGATTAAAGCAGTCGCACAGTGCCAAAGGATGCGGAGGTAATTTGATATCGTGTATCGTGCTATATTCTTTCGTTCGAAGGTTCGAGGAGAATACGTCATGAATTTCATGAAATTCCTAAGAATATGTGTCTACTGTGTATCTAACTCTTTACTTTATTTATATTCCTTTAATAAAAAAAAAGTCTTGTCAGATTGTGCAACAAAATAAGGTATGTATTGATTCTAAATAATGATTATAATCTTTATTTTTATGTTTAATCATAAAATTTTGCACTAGAAAAAAATAAAAACAATTTTCTATTAGTAATATTATATAAATATAGGCAATGTAATACACATATATTTTTTTATCATATTTTCTTATTATTGCAAAATCATATTTTTTAATAGAATCAGATAAAAGTTATTTTATGTAGATAATATATATGCAATCAATTCTTATTCGATTTATATATCTGCACGGAATAAATTTAGAACACATAATCACTAGCTGAATTATACTTCAGCCTCTCTTATAAATATCAAATAAGATGATGTTCTCTTATATTCATGTTTATTCCGATATGTAAAAGAAAATCGTGTCGCATATTCGAATTTGTCAAATGCGGGAACATGGATGCGTTATAGCAATTTCTCTTGTCATGCATCGCAAATTCCGAAGACATAATTCTCCTTAAATTCGCAATTCCACTATGGCGTAAGCTTTCTCATGGTAGTGCTTTGATGTGTTATGAATTACAAATAAGATGTGGGTAAAAAGTCACAGTGTGACACAGGCACGATTACATATTTGATCAAGGTGAATTGCCTTTTCAACAGAAGACGATTCAAGAACAACGAATGCATAATTATGCTTTTATATATATAATGTATGTCCTATGTAAAGCTGTACAATACTCATAATGAAAATTCTACTCTTATATCATTTCATATTTTCCAAATAATTATCAATTAAGTTAGACATGATAAAATTTGTATCTATAATTGTAAGTATGTCGCTTTACTATTAAATATACATTTCAGATTTAATATTTGCAAAAACAATGAAGTTTTATTATAATCGTATAAGAGTTATTTTAAAAAAGCAATTTGATGCTACATGATACTATATGATTTATAAAAAGCAAACCAAATAATCCAAACAAAATATGTAGGTATATATATATATATATATGTATATATAGATGACAGCAAATTTCCATTACACGATATTATTGATTGTATGGTGTATGAGTGTGTTGTTGATAATATGGATTGCACAACACACTCTACTTTCTTTACTCCTTCATTAGCCAATGACTTTCCAGAATGAATTTCCAATTGAAACTATTTTGATCAGAATTAAAAACAGATTCGAACTATTCGATAAGTGGTTTCACTGTTTTCAGAAAATCATTAGCTGTATTAATATTATTAATATTAATTAAACGAAGAATAAATATAAGTAAAAAGATTAATGTTTAACTTTATCTTTAATCTCAGCTTTCTGAAAATGTTCTGAAGATAAAGGTTTTTTTAATCTTCCCCTCGGGTTTTTTTCCCCTCGGGAAGATTACAATTTGACTTACATTTAAACTAGGCCAAATGTAAATAAAAATACGGCAAACGGCTGTTTCCCGCCCAGACTTCGTCTTCCATTTTGAAATTGACGAGTCCTATACGTATTTTATATTCAGGACATTACTTCGTGCTGAATTATTTTTCAAGTTCGGACAGGAGCACTGGTAGCAGCGGTAGTAACTCTTCCCGGACGAGGCTCCTGTCTCAGTCACCTCTCGTACTTGCTCACCGTCACCGGAACGAATACCGGTTCAGCTTTTCTCTCAGTGTAATCGTATATAACTGTCACTTCGCAGGATAGGTGATACAAACTGTAAAACTCGGCCAGTCGTGTCAACGTAACGTCCGACGTGTATTCAGATCCAAACTACAGCATTTGCGTGCTTGAAATTTCTAATATTGTAGCAGCACATACAGTTCTTTCTTTAAAAAAAATCCTAAATTTCCACACGAAATTCGAAATAACAATAGAAGAATGCAATATTGGTGAATTTATACATGAAGTGTGCAAGAAAAATTCATAATGCGTAAAATGTCAATGTATTATTTAAATTTAAACGTTCTTATATATAGAAAGAAGACAAATAATTCATGCTGCATAAAGAGAAACCCGTGAAATTGTAGCATTTAATTAGATCGTGTGACATGCAATTAAATTGGCGAATGTCAGTGGATGTCACATGATAGACAATTGCAGAAAAATCAACGAGTACGACGAGTACGATCTCACATCTAACGAGGCACGATGCAATTTAAGTGGCACGTCGGGGATCGTTAAAAGTGCCGCTTAAGCGACGCTAAAGCAAGAATAAAATAACACTAAATTTACGGCGGACCGTGAATCAACATGCTTTATGATTGTTCGGGTAGCGGATGATAAAGGATGAGAGCACGCGCGCGGGGAACTAGCTGGTCAGGTCGAACAGGGGCTCGAATACTCGCTAGGTGGGAGGATGAAAATTGGAAAACTGCATTGTCCACCCGTTCTACCCCTCTGGGACACATTCGTTAGTGGGCATCGTCCACCGACGATAAATTTCACGTATCTTCCACTTTCCCGTCTTTCACCTGCGCTCAAATTAAAGATCAGCTCGATCGTGATTGCTCTCCACTCGACTATCGACTTGATTACTTTTATTAAATATTCTCGGAAATATTAAATTATTAAAATAATTCATATCTAGCAGTAAAACGTTGTTTATCTATTAATATTTACTTGAGACTTGTGTATTTACCGTTGCATTTTTACTTACAAATTTAAGTAAAATCAGTCTTGAAAAAAAAAACGTGATATAATTCGATATACGGATCTTGAGAGTCAATTTGATATTCGTGAGGCCATATTTACTTACAACACGATACAACACAGAAACTTGGATAAAGCTAATCTTGGAAGACATAGCTTTGAGTTCTGTTTCACGCGACTCGATACACGACTTGTGAGATTTCGTACGAGCAACTATTTCGTATATATATGTACTGTTATTCCATTTATCATCCAATTTTGATTGAATATTCGAATAATCGCGTTTATTGAATCGGTATAAAAACATGAGATCAATTCATAGTTACAAAAAGAATCGCATGCAATTAATTAATTAGTTATAGATGAAAAATTATTTTATAATTTAACCAAGAAGTTATCTGATCTAATGAATAAGTGACATAATAAGTATACAAGTTATGGTTTCATTTTATTTCAAAAATAAATTTTTTTCTTCGTGGACAGGAGAGATGTAATTATGAGAAAATAACAGTTAAAACAAAAACCGTCAAAAATCAAGTTATTTGGTATTTATTGTACTGAAATTAGAACGAAATATTGTCTGCTCGTATCGACACGCAAACATTAATTGGATTGCTTGAAGCACTATTGAAACCGCAAAACATATTGATACGTTTAAATCCTGCGAGCACTGGTGCTAAATCCACAATATCATATTAAAGTGCATAATAATATCGAAATTCAGAATGAAATATACATGTTAAATTGGATACGAACCGATACAGTAAACCATATACGGAATTTTATAAACGACATGCACCTGCACCGTACATTTTTTGTGCTTGATTTAATGCAGTTGATTTTTTGGACACGTTTTATATGTCATTTTTTTCACTTTTTTTCAAATTCGTTTTATTTTCCTAAATCGACGTGCTATCGAGATGCTTTCGAAAGTAGCCAGATAGACAAACGGTAGCTAATTTTCGCAGATCCACCTCTGTGCGTGACTCAAACAAAAAAGAGGCCGTTTTTCCGTAAAAAGTGTTTGCGATCTTGCTTTGTTAACGGGCAATTCAACTTTGTTACTTCGAATAAACAACGGCCGGCCAAACGAATGTACCTTGCCAATAGTGGGTTCAATCTCGCTTTTAGCGTCCCTTTTCACGCAAATTGCCACGAAAAGCTAGGCCAGTTAAAATATTTACGAACGTCGAGTTTATCGCGAAGGATATACTACCAAGTTGAAAATGCGAACTTTCATCAAAATGTAGTGTGAATTTTAATGCGCTCTATCTTAAAACTTTTACTTTATATAAATTAAATATTATAATATAATACTGTAATATAATCTACAGTAATAATTAATGAACAAT